GAGAAGTATGTTAGATTGGTATAGGTCAAGGACATGTATGAGGACAGCAGGACACTAGTGAGATGTGCTTTAGACGTGACAGATAGCTTCAAGGTGGAGGTAGGATTGCATCAAGGATCGGCTCTGAGCCCCTTCTTGTTTGCACTGGTGATGGACTGACTAACAGATGAGGTCAGGTAGGAATCTCTGTGGACTATGATGTTTGCAGATGACATTGTGATCTGTGGCGAGAACAGGGAACAGATGGAAGAGAACTTGGAGAGGTGGAGATATGCACTTGGAAGAAGAGCAATGAAAGTCAGCCGTAGTAAGAGAGTACATGTGTGAATGAGAAGGACACAGGTGGGTGGAACAGTAATGCAACAGTACAAGGAGCAGAGGTCACAAAGTTGCAGGACTTCAAGTACTTGTAGTCAACTGTCCAGGAAAATATGGAGTATGGTAAAGAGATTCCAGGCAGAATGGAGTACTGTAGCTGGAGAAAAGTTTAAGGAGGGATTTGCCACAAAAGGGTGTCAGCAAAGGTCAAAGGAAAAGTTTACAAGACCATAGTAAGACCAGCTATGTTGTACTGTCTGGAGACAGAGACATGTAGAAAAAGACAGAAGAGACAACTGAAGTGGCAGAAATGAAGTTGTTGAGGTTCTCCTTAGGAGTGACATGGATGGATAAGATTAGGGAATGAGATCATCAGAGGTAGAGCGCAGGTTGGACAACTGGGAGATAAAGTTAGTGACGAGCATTGACGGTGTTCACCCCAATTCACTGGATCTATCATGAGATTCCTGAGTGTTCCTGTTCATGTGTGGGTTGTCTGTGTGCAAATCTACATGTATTTTCTTAACCTAACTGGATGCATCTCATTATTTGACACTCATTCATTACTTGGATTTAGTGGATTTAGCCGAGTCCTGCAACATTTGCACGGGTTGCTTAAAAAAATGCATAGGGGAACATATCTATTTATCTTGATGGTCTTGAAGAAAATGTTTAATTTTAATTTAATAAAACGGCAAAAAATAATCCTCAAGGATGCAATGAGTTTTTGACCCCGTCACAAAACGAACAGGGGTAATAGGAAATAACCTCCATCTGTCCGTACATTTTGTTAGCATCTTCTTCTTTCAGCTTTTCCCTCTTCAGGGGTCGCCACAGTGTCATCTTCCTCCATCTCACCCTGTCCTCTGCATCCTCTGTCCTTACTCCAACTACCTCCATGTCCTCTCTAACTGCATCCATATATCTTCTCTTTGACCTTCCTCTGTATTTTTTTCCTGGTAGCTATAATATACCCACTGTCCCTCCTCTGGACATGTCCAAACCATCTCAGTCTGGTCTCTAACTGAAAAAATGGAATATCTGTATACAACAAATAATGAAGCTTTATTTTAAAGACATGATCCTGTATAAAATATAACTCAGACCAACTCAAACGCTCACAGATGTTTACAGTCATGCTTGTTTGACGACGCTGATTTTAAGTCTTCATGTCAGCAGCTTTCAGAAAACAAGATTGTGTTGGATTATTTTGGGTTGTGTGCGTGTTTTTTTTTTTTTTTTTTTTTTTTTGGGGGGGGGGGGGGGGGGG